CTCTGATATTTCCTGCCTCACTTTCAAAGCTGATGTGTGTTTCATGCCTGGAAACTTTCCTGTCCTCAGAAATACTTGGAGAAATGGCTTCCAGGCATGGAAGTGTGGGAATTCTGTGCCTCACCAACAAAAGTTACTGACCTCCCATGAGGTGTTATTACTCAGTTGGGGGAGGAAATACATAGATGGAAATGCCTTTTTATAATTTTGAAATAAAAAAAAACACTTTGCCACCAAGCTCTATGAGCTGCAGAATATCTCATTTCCTCTCCTCCCATTTCAAATCCATCTGTGTGTGTGTAGCTGCAGTTTTATCCTTTTCAATTTCAAGAGCTTGGTTCTTCCTTCTTTTCAGCTTTCCAGTGGTTTCTGACACAGCTGTATTTCACCAAGAAAAGAAAAATTTACATTACAGCATTGAGGTTTTGTTTTGTGTTCCTTTTGTAGAACCCTCAGTCATCATAGAAAATTAAAAGCGACAATTTGACACTAAAACTTTCTTTAAGTAGAATTCTGCAAATGGAGAAAGCATTTCTTGTGTGCATGCAGCCTCAGTGTTTCACTCATGTGAAGGACACTGCATCAGGTTTTGCTGCTGTTTGCAGTGATCGTGTTCAGTCCAGCTGTAGAGTGTTTGGCAGAGCTGTGTCAGTCCTGCAGATCTGAGCTCTGCAGTTCACTCAGCTGGAAGAAGCCAGAACATTCATGTTGAGTCATCTTTCATATGATCAAAGTTGAACTTGTCCTTGTTTGCTGTGGGTTTTTCCCTGTGGATCCTGTGGTCAGTCACAACACCACACCTGATCCCATTTCTCCTTCCTCTTGGCAGAGTTATCAACACCATGCTGGTGACCTGTGCTGTTTGCTGCTACCTGTTGTAAGTACAAACAATGTCCTGCCCACTCCTCTTGTAATCACAAGTTCCTTTTTTACAGCCTCAGAGCACTTAGAAGCTTTTTGAATGTGTCACAGAGATTTGGACCTGTTTTTTGACAGCTCTTGGAATTCTGAGTTCCAAAGACCTTCAGTGTGCTGAAGAAATTTTCCCATTGAAAATGCTGATTTAAAAGGAACCTGAATTCCTCCTCTGACACATGACTGTGAGCTATCCTTGCATGGACATGCTGTTCCTCCTCTCCAGTTCCCTGCCTCATTTGTTCACAAGTATAATAATTTTAAGATTTTCCTGATTCTTAGGCTTTTTTTGCCTTTTCCCTTTCCACTTTATATTTATTTCTGAGGTAATACTAACTCAAACCCACTGAACAGTTTTGCTTTTAAATTCCTTGAATATATTCTCAAAATCTGGTAGAGTGGTGGGTGGAAAAGCTGCTGCCTGGTGGGTTTTTTAGTGAGACTTTGATATATTAAGACAATTTCTCTTTAAATGCACAGTGTATTTTGAGGCTGCCTCCTTTCTGTAGGAGATTTAGTAGCAATTACAGAGTGACTTGTTGAGAGCTCTTCATATAATGTTTTTTATCAGGATTTAAGCCAGCTGTAGCTGGAGACTGCAAGACAAAGCTTGCTTGTGTTTTTCTCTCCCTCTTTTAAAGACTGTGGAGACTGATCTTGTAAAAAACTGCTGTGCAGAAATAGCTTTGAAGGTATTTGTTATGGAGAGCAAAGTGGTAAAAGTCTGGTTTATCTTAAGGGTTAACTTGTTATAAAAATTATTATTTGGAGTTCCATTTGAACCTGAGTGGTATTTGTACTTTCTTCAACTATTTAGGCATGGTTTATGCTATTCAAAGGAATTTAATATGAATATTTAGAGAAATGCATCTCAATCTTACATGTTCCAGGAGAGGCCTGTTGGGTTAGACAGTGGCACAGCTTACACAGTTGTGTAAGGTTAATAGTGTGATACTCAGGGTTAGTATCAGTTTATACTCTAGAAAATTTATTTCTATTCAGAGTATTTGATATGTGAACTCCTAAGAATTCACTCTTGCTCAACTGTAAAAGTCCAGCAGACTTGGCTCTGCTTTGTATGCACAGAAGTTTTTAAATTTAAGTTTTGCTGAGTGGATATAGAAATTTGAGAATTTGTGCAAGCAGCTTGAATTTGGGGTTGAAATTTGGGAATCTCAGTGCTCTGAAGGTCTCCTTGCCCTGCACATGAAGTTTGTAGCAGCTCAGTCTCATAACAGGTCCCAAATGTTTGGCTAAGAAAGGACAATTTTTTGATGATTTTTACTGGGTTGCTGCATTTATGTTACAGTTACTTGGGTGGTTTTTAATTAGGAGAAGAGTTGAGCTTTGTTTTGATTTTATTTAAAGTTCTCACTTGGGTTTTTTCTACAGAAATTGTGTCCCACTCTTGTAGAACCCTTGAGGTTTGGTGTCTCTGTTGTTTGAAGGAGAGTTTTCCTTGAAGTGGAGGCTGTGTGGCATCTGCTGCATCCTCTGGATTGTGATGGGAAATGTATTTGTTGTAGAATTTCTTAACTTTGGGCTCAGTTCTGTGAACTCTTCAAATGTGCAGTGGTCTGTGACTTGTAGGATTAGTTGGTTATTTTATCTAAACAGACCCATTATAAAGCCTACTGTTATTACCATGTTTTATAAACTGCTCTTCTGTGTCCAGGGGTTCTTTGGTAATTTTGTGGGCTCTAACTTGTTTTCTGAAAGCCAAATTTCCTTTGGCTTTCTCCAGTTATACTTTGGGGAAAAAAAAAAGCAGCAAAATCTTGGGATATTTTCAACCCTCCGTAGTTGTACCCAACCACATAAATTGTATTTGTAGTGTCTGCTTGCCAGAATGCAACAAAAAGCAGATTTTTCTCATCCTGTTCCAAGACAGAACTTGCCTCATCACAGAGTCTTTCATTTTTTATTTGCTCATTTATTCTGTATAAAATTGTAGAACAGCTCTGTTTGGAAAGGACCTCAAAAGATCTGGTCCAACCTTTTCCCTCTGTTTTATTCAAACATATGGAACTTTATTGTTCTTGCATTCTTTTCCTTTTGGGGGAGGAGGCACTGAAAACATTTAAGACCTTCATTTTAGATGGCTACAGAAAGAGATTAATTTTTCTTACCAGCCTTGAAAGAAGCCCAAAGAATTGTTCCTGAGATTTCTTCATTAGATCTGTTAGGATTAAAACAATTTCTGCTGTCCCAGCTATTTTTGTGTCCTTAGCAGTGGCTGGTGCTGTTCTGTGCTCCTCTGTACAGCTGTTTAGTCTCTGCTAGATCTGCTTTTACACTCTTTGAGTTACCTTTCCAGTTGAAAGTAGGGAAAAAACAATTTCCTGTCTTCATTAAACACCACTTGATTGATAAATTGATTTTCACTGAAATTAATTTGAAGTCAGTACATTTCAACTTAAAGCTGTTTCTTCTGTATTTCGATTTAGCAGTGATAATTTTGAATAACCATATTAATTACATGGGATCCATTTGGTTGTTCTGTGGAAGATATTTGCATCTAATTTGTGTACAGATCCTGTACCCAGCAGCCTTTTGAGGAATAAACCATTCTCAGGGACCTCATAAAATCTAAGGCAAAGTCCAAGGAGTTACTGCTGCAGAAATTAGAGGTTCCACCATATTGTGAGGTACTAAATCTATTTTGCTGTGCACAAAGCAGTTCCTGAACAGTGTCATCATGTCCTAACAGAGGACAGGGTGCTTGGAAAATTGTATTATTTGCTACTGATTCTAACAGGATTAAAATATGGATGCCCAAATTGACATTTAAACAGAGATAGCAGGACCTTCATTTGTAACACGAGCACAGACAGATGGCACTTGTGGTGGGAAGACCTTTTAAAAAATCTCTCTGGTACAACAGAAGGGACTTTAATTTCCTTGTCTGAGCTGGATAATTAACAGTAACTGTTCTAAGTGGGATCTGGTAGAATTTAAGGACCTATGGGTGGCTCGAATGCCATACCTGCTTTTAGCAGCTCTGGAACATTGCACCTTGGATGCAGAGGTTTGTTTTACTCTGAATGCTGCACTTTGTTGTGTGCTGGCACGCTGGATCCTTGCATAAAGCAGCATCACTTACCCAAACCATGGGAAAAGCTTTTTCATGCCTTACCTTGAATGCCAGGCCGTTCCTAACAAATGTTTTAAATTCCTCATCCCTCGCAGGGCAGGGGGAGGAGTGCACTGCTGCCCTAATGGCACCCCGGCTCCCAGCTCGGGTACCCAGCACGGCCCCAGCAAATAAATGCCTTTTGAAACTTCCACGCTGCTTTTCCCTAAGCCTGCTCCCACAGGCTGAGCTTCTGAATGTGCTCCCAGCTCGTTTAATTCACAGTCCTGCTGGGCCTGAGCTCGGGAGGTGAGAGATTCGTGCCGGGAGTTCCTTCCTGCTCTGCGGTGACAAAAGGAATAATGTGCTTTAACAGGCTTTTAGTGTTCTACCCTCCTCCCACTTGTGTTACTGCAGGATGCTGGAGGCAGATGGCACAATGCTCTTTGGATCTGTCTGTTGGATCTGAAAAATTAACCCTCACTAAAGAAATCCCCTGATCATTTTAAGGGCTAATTTGCCCTTAAGTAGATTTAACATCATGGTCTCAAAATACATTGTTGTCACTGCTTTGGACAGCAAAGTAGAAACGTGTCAGCCTAAAGGTTTTTGGCTGCTCTCAGTGGTGCCTTGCTGATGTTTTAATTCCTTTGTAGAGCCTGCTACGTGTTCCAAGGCTTGTGTGGCTGATGGAGTGCTGCAGGCTCAGCTCCTTGTTTTAGCTGGAGTTCTACCCCCTGCAAAACTGAAAGGGGCATTGCAAAGAAATATTGGTAAATTGGAAGAGGATTGATGTGTTTCCTTGAGTCTGACCCACATCTTTGCCTTTGTGGCTGTTGCAGGCAGCCGACCTGCACTTGGTTAGCTGGTCAGAGCATCAAGGTTTGTGTGGAATTTTCCATGACTGCCTAAGCACTCTGATACATTTGTGGCAGCTCCCATTACAAAGCTGCTCTGCTTTTTCTCCTCCTTACAAAGCATTCTAGAAATAGCAGACAGATGAGCCAGTGTGTTCACTAAATGTGTTTATATAGTTAGTATTTAACATAGATTTAAATCCGTGGAAGCATCCATTGCTTTTTCTGATTCTTGTAACATTTACAAAGCAAATATATCTTTTAAGAGTGGAATATTTATTTCTGTTTAGCTTTCCTGGATATTTTCCACAAACTACATTCCTCTTGCTCTCAGTTCTGGCCATGGCTTCTGCAGTGTTAGTTTGTGCTCTGCTCCAGTGACAAGGCTGCTGTGCTGATCATCTGGGGTTTGTGTCATATTGGGGTTGTTTTTGTGGGGTACTTTGTTGGTCTTTGTGTTCTTTTGTACCCTTTTGCTTCAGGTCCCTGTTTCTTGACCTCTGTGCCAGGTTTAAATTCACTTTTGTTAAATCTCTGAAAAATATACCACATCTGCAAGGGCAGGTTGCTGTGCACTGAGAAGCAAATGAGAGAGAGGATGTTTCTCAGAGGTTGTTGTTTAAAGGATGCTTCAAAGGCACTGAAAAAAGCTCTTGTCTCTTTTATGTTTTCATCTTCTGAGCCCCCAAAATCCTGAGTTTCATGTGTCTCAAAACACTTTTCTGTCAAAGAGAGGTGTGAGGGCAATGCTAGCAGGTGATTTTGTGTTGCTTTCAGTTGAACAGGACAATCTGTTTCAGTTGCAGAATGATTTGGTGCCATAACTTCATTGCTGGTGGCTGGTCCTTGTGTTTGACCTTGAGTAGAATCTTTATTTGAACCTAGACCTTCCTAAAATAACCTTTTCTTCTCTGATAGTCCTGGTGTTTGGACAACCTTCCATTGTCACAAGCTGTCCTTTGGCTGATTTGTGTCTCTTGGGCTGGGGGGTTCTCTTGCAGTTGGCTGATTGCAATTCTGGCTCAGCTCAACCCTCTCTTTGGGCCACAGTTAAGCAATGAAACAATCTGGTACCTCAGATACCACTGGCCTTGAGGATGTCTGTGCAGTGCTGCAGCTCATTGACAGGTGAGTATGAGCAGATTTATTGATGTATTTGGTGTGTTAAAGCTTCAGGAGAGATTGAATAGCAATGTGAGCAGTGTGCTCAGACCAGGGTAGCTCTTTGGTAGGAGGAATCTGTCTTTCTGTAGGCTGCAACAAAACATTTTGGATGTTAGTCTTGATTGGGTATGTGAAAAGCTTGAACTGAATTATTGCCAGTCATTTTTCTTTCTCTCTTGTCATACAGTGCTGTGTTCAGGGGTTTGTAAGGAGAACAAAACTTCCAAAAAAAGATACAATTGGACTAGGGTAACATAAGTGGATTTCCTAATCTTTACCAATTGTTAAACCTCTCCTCAAGCCTGCTACCATTTCATCTAAGACCTGTCCTGATTTCCAAGGCAACACAGCATTGCTCTCATTCATCTGGGAAGTTGGAATGGGAGCTGCCATTAGAATGTTCTTTATCTCCTGAGCTCACAGCTTGATGGTTTATTTTGTTTTTAATGACAGCCTGTGTGCAGCTTTAATCCCAGCTGAGCCTGGTGGTTGCTATCAGGGCAGTGCTGCTGGAATGTGGTTCTTGCAGTTCCTGGGCTCTTTGACAGGGCCAGCACAAATAAAGTCTTGTACCAGAAGTACCTTAATGCTGTTGGGCTTGTTCAGGAGGGCAGCATTTGGAATTGAAGGTTCAAATGAAGGAAATGTGGAAACAAGCAGCCATGATTATAGTTTTTAAGCTGGTAACTGAATAATTAAACACATTTTTTGTTTGTCCTTGTACAACACGGTCTCAGCTCAGTGCAGCAGGCAGTGACAGCTGATGTTATAGCTCTGTAAATGCTTTCTGTGAAGTGTCCTGCACATTTGCTCCCCAGTTTCATCCCAGTTCCGCTTCCTGTGAACTGGGATGTTGGCAGACTGGGCCTGTGTGTGTGTCTGCAGCTCCTTTTAAGCACCAAGCAGAAGCTGAAGGTAGACTTGGCCCTGCTTCAACGCCAGGCCTATAATTAGCTAAGTCAGTCAAGCAGAATTTCCTAGGAGCATTTTCACTGCTTGGGTGCTAACATATAATTAGTTAGCTAAAACAGAGAACAGTGTGTTTTGGTAATGGGCACAAAGATCCCTGAATCCCATAGGATGATTCAGTTGCCTAGGATCTGAAATTGGAGTTATCTGGACATAAAAATTGGGTTTCATGGTCTGTGTGTTGAAACCAGCAAGGAAAGGCAGGAGGTGAAACACAACCTCTGGACTTCTGCTAACAGAACCAGGCCCTTCCCCTCCATTCCAGTGAAGGATTTTCCAGAGAACTGGAATTAAATTTGTACCAAGGAGGAGAGGGACCTTGTGTGTTTGAAGCTGAGTGCAGAGTTTCTGAGGAGCTGTCATTTTTAAACTTATTAATGGAGCATTTCAGCCCTGCATGGCACATGCTGTTTTATTACATGAAGGAGTTTGTTTTAACCTTCCATCTGATTTTATTGGCTTGGTTTTGGAATAAAATTAAGGTTGTTGTCTCTGAAAAGGAAAGGTTTAGAAAAGTAAAAGCATTTAATAATCCTCAAATATCTGTTCCTTGTTGCTTGAAATGTGCTGTCCCAGGTCACAGCACTGCAGAGTTGTTTGAGTGCTGTTGCAGGGCTGAGGTGCTCCATGTCCTGTCCTTGCTCCTGGATAGGAGCTGTGAGTGAGATTCCATCTGATAAGAGCTGGGATATCTCTCTGACACTGCATGGATTCCCATCAGTGCAGCAACCAGTTATTTCTGGGTTTTGAGCTGTGCTTTTCCAGCATTCAGGGGAGATGAACTATACTTGTTTCTGCCTCCTGTTCCTTTCAGTTGAGGTTTGGGTGGATTAGTATGGAAAATGCAAAGAAAACGAAGTGCTAACTCCCAAAGTGGAAAGATCCTTAAAAATAAAGATGATTAAAGCAAACCCATTTTACTTAACTGAGCAGCCTGAAAATGCTCCAGTGAGCTCCTCATGTTCTACTGAGGAACTCTGCAAATGCTGCCTTGATTGATCTGTGCCAAATTCCACAAGTTTGCTCTGTGTTTTCAGGCAGTCTCCCTCCCATCCAAGGGATGATTTTCTAGCAATTCCCTTGATACATCCCCAAGTTAATGGCTTGGATGGCAGCGTGCAAGAGCACACAGAGCTCTGTAGCCATGGTAAATCCAGGCTGTGCACTCTTCCAAACTGTCACCCAACAGTGCCTTTTCTCCTTAGCCTGGTGAATTCACAGCCTGTGTTCTCAGAGCAGGAGCTGTCTTTGTGCAAGTGGAGAAGGGCTCTCATCCAGCTCACTGGGTGCTGTTACAGCAATGAAAACATTGGAGGGAAATAGTTGTTCTACCAGCTTATAATGTAACTAAAACTGCTTGCAGAAACTTCAGAAATCAAAGTGCCAAGAAAACATCCCCACAGATGAATTATCTCCAGTTCTTGACCATTGCTCAGTGCATTTGTGGAATGGAATTGCTGTGCTTAACAGCCAGGCCTACAATTAGCAAACTGTCTCCATGGAAGGAATAATGAAGGTGCCTCTTGCTTTGCAGGTGCAGAAGAGATGAAAACTCCAGTGACCCAAAGGTGCCATTTCTGTAGCTGGTTGGATACGAAGCCTGCAGTAATGCCTTAACCTTTCTCATGTTCTTCAAGTGGCTTCTTCAAAGTCTTGTGGTTTTTCTACTATTCCATTTAACAGAGTGCCTAATGCAATTCATACTCCTCTTTGGTACTGTCAATTTTGACTGTTAACTCCAAATGTGATGAAAATTTCTATTTTTTACGGGTCATGGAATCACATTTCCTATTCCCTTTATCTGTAATAACTCTTTATATTTGCAGGTCTTAGCTTGTCTGTCATTGTCCTGTTCACCCCTGTTCTGTTTGCACTGGACAAAAATGTGTGCAATAAACTGTATGAGGAGAGGAGAGAGAGTGGTACCATGTGCTGATGGCAATTTTTTTTTTTTCCAAATTAATTGTATTCTTGAGAAATCTGGCCTTAAATTTCTCATGCCTGGAAATAAAACTAATCCTCTGCTTGATACAAAACGTTCTCGTGCCATGTTTAACTGTTATTTGTCTGTGGGTTTAATTGGATACTTGGAGTTGAGCTGAGGATATGTAGATGATGTGGATAAATTGTAATGAAGTTAAATAGTAGGAATAGATGGGGATTGTTGCCTGTATTGAGACCTCTGGGGTAGATCTATAGGATTAAACTTGCAATTTAAAATTGCTGAAAGGTGCAGGAATAAGCAAATGCTTGGCTTGAGAGCCTCTTTTCCAGGAACTTCCCATTGTCTGAGTAGCAAAGGTAACATGGTTAATTTGGATGAAACCTTCCCTGTGATTTTGACAGGAGGCTGATTCAATCCCTGGCACCTTTGGAGGATATTATAGGAGCAAATGGATTGAATTGAACAGCAGACATTGCAGTTGCTTTGTACTGACCTGACCCTTCATGTGGATTGCAGACCTGGGAAAGCACATGGCAATGTAAGCAAGAGGTTCCTGAGGCTCCTCAGTGTCAGCTGAGTCCGTGGCATTGGGATGGATCTGCTCACTTGTTTGCTGAGGAGCAGCTTCCAAGGGTATAAATTCTGCTCCCTGAATGCTTCCTTACCTCATGCCCAGAGAAATTACAATTATTCCCTTTATTGTTATGCACAAGGACATAAGGGAATGGTTAATATTTTATTTGCTTTTCCCTCTTGGATAGCAGCATTAACTGTTCAGTGGGACAGCACTCATTACTACACAGGAAATTCCAAGATCCTGACATGTAACTTGCAGTGATCCAAAACTGGACAGTGTGAATTGCAAAAGAAGGAAGAACGTGCCCGTTATTACAAATAAACATAGCAGCTCTTGGGACTGGAATAGTGGATTTTTTTTGTCATGTCACCTTCTAAGAGCTGTATTTTATCATGCAATATGTTGTACACAGTCATGTTACACAGTCTGTACCAAATAATTCCTAGGAAAATTGAAACCAAGTGATCATATAAAAACTTAAAGTTGTTGTTTGATTTTTGAAGTGAGTGGAGAATAAAATATGTTCGAGAGGAGGGACAGAAATGCTCCAAGATATCGTTGACACATTTGAGATTTTGAAATATGTTGATCTGCTTGTCATATTTAGCCTGAAGTGAAATACCCCAAGAGGAAACACTCAGTGACAAACAGTGCTGTTTATTGTGTTACCACTGTCTTTAACAAGCTTTCTATTTTAGGTTCTAAGCTATCACTTGCTCTAGAAGAGAGAAGTAAAAGAGTTCCCATGGGTGTCTCACTGGTGCTGAATTGAATGGAAAGAGCTATTCTAAGCCAGGACAAAGAAGCCATAGAGCAATTCTCACCTAGATGCTTCCCCAAAAGGCATTCCCCAGATTGTCCAGAGTGGTTAACATTTCCTCTGAAGCAGGTGCCAGGTGGTAGATGACTGAAGAAGTGAATAATGTTTTGTGCGTGTTCTGCTGGATGTTGCATGGTGGTTGGGGAATCTTCTTCTCCTTGTGTGCTAGGAATTAACACTGCTTGGGATAATTTCCTTTTTTTTGCATGACTGCAGGAAATGAGAAGAAAGAGGTTCAGCCACTGCTGCTGAACAAACAATGCAGGTACCAGAGCATTTATCACTCATGCCTCTGTTGTCTGACAGCAGAAGAGAACACAGATTGTTCAAGTGTAAAAGAAAGAAGTTTGTGCTTGAAATGGAAAACCTTTGCCTGTGTTGAAAGATACTTGGGTAAAAAATGAGGAAGGTGAAGGAAACTGACTCCACAGTCAAGTTGTGAAGACTTTTAAGTCATAAACTCTGGCAATGTATAGAGTGCGAATTCAGGTCAGGGTCATTTCAAATGCTTGTAACTGCTTTCGTTCATATTGTTTAGGAAATGCAAATATCTGCATCTCTGCCCCTCACAAGAAATCGTTCTGCAGACTGTACAGAAGTTTACTTTTCCTCTAGAGGAAATCATGGAAGCATTTTACTCCTGTGAAGGGCTGAGTTATCAGAGGTGGGTGGCTGCTTCCTTGTTTCCAGAATTAAATGTCATGGACTCCGTGGGGCAAAAATAGAATAAATGGGGTGAAATAACAAAAACTTCTTTAAAGAATAGAAGACATTCTTTACAAATAGCAAGATAAAAACGAGTTACTCTATTTTTATTATATTTATTACTAATAATTTCTCCAGTTGTGTCTGAAGCAGTCCATGCCAGCCACCTGACACTGTGAAAGGTGGTTGTGCATGTAGCAGAAGACAGTAGGACAAATTACAGAGCTGCGGGTAGGACACGAACGGATGAAGGAGGAGTAAGTGCGAGAGCGGGGCCGCAGAGCAGCAGGACCGGGCTGTGGGACGGGAGCCCCGCACAGCCTCAGCAGCCGCGGCCGCGCCTCGGCCCCGCCGCGCTCTGCCCGCGGGCACCCGCCTCCCCGCCTTAAATAGCCCCCGCGCGCCGCTCCGCCGCCACGTGACAGTCACAGCCCCCTGCTATTGGACGGCGCAGCCCCCTTCCCCCCGCCCCTCGCGCGCGCCCGCCCCCTCGGGCCACGTGAGGGTCGAGTCACGCGATTTCCGGGAACCCGTCAGGAAGGGACATAAACAAACAAACCCGGGGCCGCATGGAGGGGCCGGGCCGGGCCGCGCGGGGCTGCGGCCCCCGCTGAGCACCGTGAGTCAGGGGCTCGGGGCGACCGCGGGGCTCCGGGGGGCTGCGCGGCACTGAGGGCGCCGGGGGTCGGGGGGCCCGGGTGGTCCGGCGGGAGGAGGCGGTGCCGCTGGGCAGGGGGCTGCAGGGAGGGAGGGAGAGCGGGACGGAGGTGTCTGCCCGGCTGCCAGGGACAGCTGGATGGGGATGGTGCCAGCGGCCCCTCTGCTCCGCTCGCCCGCCGGGGGGGTGTGGCTGCTGGGGCCGCGGGAGAGCGGCGGTGCGCGGGGGGTGTCCGGTCCCGGAGCGGGGCTCTGGGGCCCGGAGCTGGGCTGGGGACGGTGAGAAGGGGCTGTGGGGACGGGGCGTGGGCTCCGCGGGGAGTTGTCGGCGTTGTCCCCTCCAGCCTCCGCCCGGCAGGAGCGGCCCGTGCCTTTACAAGGAAAGCGAGTCTCGCAGCGAGCGCCGGGGAGAGGAAAGCGCCGTCCTGCCGGGGGAGCCCGGCCGCTCTGGGCGTTCGGGCGGAGGGACTGCCTGGGAGGGGAGAGAAGGGTTCGGCAGCTCCTGCACTCCTGCCTTTTGGGCTTGTAGTAGCCTCCTCCGTTTGCGACCTGTTTGAATGCCCGGGACGGCCGGGGGTGACCCGTGGCCGTGCGGGGTCTCTGTGCTCGGGTGTGTTGGTGCCCGACGCACGGCTCCGCTGATAAGGCTGCGGAGCAGAGCTGGCGGAGAGGGGTCACCGCTCTGCGAGTGCGGGGCAGGGCAGGACGGCACCGTCCTCGCTCCGGCGCGGTGTTTATGTAATGCCAGAGCGGCAGGACAGCTGATCGCTGCGAGCCGCGGCCTCGGGACGGGGCTTCTCCCGGGCAGCGCGGGTGCGCTCCGGCTACCCGCAGTCCTGGCGGGGGTCGCCGGGCGGGGGCCGCCCCCCGCGGGACGCGGCTCCCTGGGCGGTGTGTCCGGCGCGGGGGGGCCGGGGCCGGCCGGGCGGGTGCCCGGAGCGGCGGGCGCGGCTCGGGGGTCGCGGGGCAGCGGCCGGGGCGGCGGGAGGGGGTTTGTTTACATGTCGCCTCACCCTAGCTTGAAAGGGCCGCTGGGCGGGTGAGCGATGGGCGCGTCGGCCAATGGGATGGGGCGCGGCGGGGCAGCTAGCCAATGAGCGGGCGCGGAGGGCGGGGCGGCGGCGGCCGGGGTAGGCTGCGCTGGGCGGCGGGGCGGCCATGTTGGCCGGAGGTGTGTTAGTGGGTCAGGGCCGGGCCGGGGGACGCGGCGGGGACGCGGGCACCGCGCGGGGCCGCGGCCGCGGGGCCGCCCGCCGTGCCCGTCCCTCCGCAGCGCTTTGCCTCAGGGGGGCTGTCCCACCTGGGCGTCGGGACCGGCCCGGGGCGGTGCCCGCGCACAGGGGGTCCCGTTCCCCGCGCTCAGGGGACGTCGGGGCGCGTTCCCGTCTCCCGCTCCCGGCCCGTCCCCGCAGATCTGGGTTATGAAGCATCCGCGAATTCCCCGCACCGCCTCAGGAGCCGCCCTCGGCTCTCAGTGTGTCCCCACACGGGTGTCGGACACCTCTCCGTGTGTGCTCTAAGCTCACGCGGGTTCCTAGCCAGGAACACCTTGATTAAAGCCCCTTGTGCCAGCGAGGACTCAAATCTTTATTATTTACCTTTATTATTTACCTTTGTCCCCAGGGTCCCCACCCTGGGCGTCGTTCCCCACCCGCGGCATCGCTGCCGTGCCCTCCCTCGCCCCGGCAGCCCCGCTGCCCACGGCATTTCTCTGCCGGTGTCCGGGATAATTCCGCTGCCACATTCGCTGTAAAACACTCGGGGTTTGTTCAGGCTTCCCCGTGCAACAGGCTGCAGCTTGGAGCAGCCAGCGCTGCCTGCCGAAATGTGCGATTCTCACTTAAAGTGATCGTGATCTTTCTGTCGCTGCCACTCCAGGGGTAACTTGTTGAAATCATGCTCCACGTAACAGGCAGAACAGAATCAGATACTCGTATTGTCTTTAAACGCTTCTAAATGCTTTAAAGATTGTGTTTAAAAGGCCTCTAAGGTCGCTTCCGAGCATCCTTGTGCGGAAGGTTAATTATGATCATTGTTAAATGTGTTTTCATAATAAAAATTACAGAGAGGCAGATGCAGGTGCTTTAGAAACGTGGTCGGTTTCTGTTGTTGGCGGCTTAAATGTGAAGTCAGAATTTCTATGGAAAATAAATCATAGAATCCCCGAACGCTTTTTGTTGGAAGAGACTCTAAAGATTTTTAATTTCAAGCCCCTGCCATGGGCAGGGACACCTTCCACTGTCCCAGGGTGCTCCCCTGACCTTGGAGATCCAGGGGCAGCCACAGCTGCTCGGGGTGTGATCCTTCTGCAAGAAACCTTTCCTGCTAAAATAATCTCGGCGAGATTCCTTTTAAAATGCATAAATAACAGTAGCTCAGAGACCTCAGACATGTCCAGGAATTACTCTGAATTGATGGGAGTATTCCCTGATAAGAGCAACCTGCAGCAGAGGCATCAGGCCCCCTGAGCATCCTCCCCAGGTGGTTTTTAAATAATGAGAGAGGCAAACAGCCTGTGAAGAACAGAGACTGAAGTCAGCATTAGCAGGAATTAATTGGGGAGAAACAGAAGCTTTTGTCCCACTAATAGACTGATGGGATAAATAAGAGAACCCACAGGTTTACATTCCCGTGGCCTGTGTGCTCTGTGATTTGGGAAGTTCAACTGAATGTTTTAACATCAAGCCTTGCATAAGAAGTGCTCGAGAGTTGGCATTGGCATGAAAGTTAAAACAAAAGTTTTGTTAAAACTGTAAATTTAAAGTTTAGACCTTGCTATAAAAATCTCCCTGTTTTTTTTTTTTTTTCCTTCTGCTTTTAAACTCTTAAGCCATGGGGTTTTTTACTTTTTGGACAATTTTGACTGATGCATTTTTCGAGTTTTCTGCTGGCTTTGAAGTATCTGGTACAGATGCCCCATTTCTAACAAGAGTATAGCAATCATAATTTCACAGTACGAAGAGTAGACCAGACTGTACTGTTCCCTTCATCATAAGACTTGTGTTGCTTTTTGTTTTTTCCTGGAAACTACAGAATTATTTTTTCTCTTAGTCTGAGAGACTCTGTCAGAAAAAAATATAGGAGCAGCCATCCTGTCAGGATGTAGAATATTGCTGGAGATTGGAAGCTGAATCGTTGTTTAGTTTTGCTTTTGTTTTTTGCCTTTGCTTTCACCCCACTCTGATTCAGGGGAAAACTACAGCTAAAAAATTTTAAATGTTAGTTTTACTACTAATTCTCATGTGCAAACAACTCTCCTTGCACTGCAGTGTTATTTTAATAAGGTTTATAATATGAATTTTTAAATTAAATAATTTTTTAAAATTAAGTCTGTTAATATAGTTTTAATAAGTGTAACATGCTGCACATCCCACTCTTAGCACTAAAATAAGAATAAAATCTCAGTCTTTGTTCCAGAACATACAGAAAAGTGCTTCTAGTAGGAATATATTAATCTGGGCATAGTTGTTACAAAATCTGTGAATGCAGAATGTTTGTCAGTATAAAAAGTAATCACTTGGTTTTGCTTCTGCCTCTTGCACGATGGTCAATGTCAGTGCAGGCTGGGATATAAACACAGGCTGGGAATTCTCAGATGGAGCAGCCCTGGAGAAGGATCTGGGGGTGCTGGTGGCCAAGAGCTGGACCTGGCCTGGCCCCCAGGAGCCCCCCATGCCCTGGGCTGGTCCCCATGGGCAGCAGGAAGGGGCTGGGATTGGGCCCCCTCAGGTGAGACCCCAGCCCTGGGCCAGGCCAGGCAGGACCTGGAGCTGCTGGAGAGATCCAGAGGAGGCACCAGGGGATCAGAGGGATGGAGCTGGGAGAGCTGGGGTTGTTCACATGGACAGGAGAAGCTTTGGGGTGACACAATTGTGGCCTTGCAGTGTCTGAAGGGAACATACGGGACAGATGGAGAGAGACAATTTCCAAGTGACAGGACACAGGGAATGGCTTCACACTGACAGAGCAAGCTTAGATGGGATATTGGGAAGAAATCCTTCCCTGTCAGGGTGGGCACAGGTGCCCAGAGAAGCTGGGGCTGCCCCTGGATCCTTGAGAGTGGCCCAGGCCAGGTTGGATGGAGCTTGGAGCCACCTGGGACAGTGGGAGGTGTCCCTGCCCATGACAGGGGAGTGGAACCAGATGATGTTTAAGCTCCCTTCCAGCCCAAACCATTCTGTGATTCCATCATTTTCTGGGATCTGCTGTTTGCTGACACAGCTGGGGCTCCCCCAGAGCTGGGAACTGCTGTTGGCATGGGGGGTCCATGAGCTCTGTGCTGCTCTGGGGTGTTGTGTGTGTGTGATTGTAGGCCAGAGCTTCTCTTTAGAGCTGTCACTTCCAGGTCTTGAAGCCTGTCTGCTGTGGGCGAGTAGGATTGGAAAAATACCACTGGAGGGGGAAGGGATGGTCAGTGGAGGAACAGGAACAGAGACAGTGAAGTAACAGTTTCCCTCTCCTGAAGGGAAGAGGCTTAGAAGAAGTGAAACAGTCTGAGTATCTTTAGTTCTTTTAAGGTCTGTCAGATCAGGGTCTGGGGTTTTTAACAGGTGTTGTTTTCTCTCCAGGACAAAAAAGCAAAGAGCATAATGCCTTAGATGCTTGTGCTGGCATTTTAGTGGAAATCCTTCACCAACAAGGGGGACTTGGCTGCTTTTGTGAGTCCAGGAATGAGGCTGAGGTGGGTGGAAATACAGGAAGACATTTTAAAAGAGTGTCTTTGCTCACTGCTATGAAATAATAATAATAGTACTAATAAACTTTGTGTCTTTGTGCTGGGGGAGAAACATAAAAGGATTTTTTAAAGTCTAGATAATCATTGAAGAATCGTGTAGAAAGAAAAAAAAAGGAACATTATTCAGAAACAAAAGTAAGGAACATAATCATTGATTGAGGTTGGAGAAGTCCTCCAAAGCCATTGAGTCCAACCTGGGAGTGCTTCCCACCTTTTCACCCACACCA